AAATGGGTTACGTTCATTATTATATGAAAACACTAAATGCTGTGTACAAGCAGGTGCTATTGCCATGTTCTTATATTAATTATCTCATAGTCAAATATTCTACAAACTAAATGTCTCCAACTAAGACTCTGCTAGCTTAACAAAAACAGAAGTAACACACTTGATGGGAACATCTTGGTGGTGGAACCAATGGGGTCTTGACCAACCTCCACTCATCATGCTTAATGCTGTACACATACAAATCATTGTACATGAAAGTCTGTAAAACCAAATGCAACCAGAACTTAAATACTAACAGTTCAGCCTACAATTAAGTTGTTAGCAAATCGCTACTGAGTTCATCTATTCCATCTGGTGCTACATGTAACAATGCTACCTATACATAGCAGAGTGTGTCAAAACAAACTACGAAGTGTGGAACTATTATAATATCAAGAGCGTATTAAGAATATATAACACTCTTGATAATATACATATTCATTTAATTGTTATGATAAGGGAGATCTCCAAACAATAAAATTAGGCCTCACCTTGTTACCATTGAAGAACTCGCCACCAAACATAAGAAGTTCATCATTTTCAGGATGTGGAGTCAGTGACATGTTGCACCTGACAGGGAAATGTAAACTTCCTAGCATCAATCATGCTATCATGTGTTGTTGTGCATAATGATTGGGACAAACCACACAACTTAACGAAATTGTTTTAATGTTTAAAGCATTAAACTATCAAATCTGCTTACCTATATCACAACACCAACATCATTCTCGTATATGGTTTAAGTGAGCAAATATCTAAAGAAAAATCTATTTCCAAGTTATATTTACCGTGGTGATGGAGGTTCTGCAATCTCTTCAGTTATCTGTGCACGCTTTTTATCCTGCTCTACAAAGTTAGCGATCAGTTGTTCTATATCATCCTGAAACAAGTAAGTATTGAAGCATTTAACAATGTATAGTAATCTTTATCTTTTGATTACTAACATTAATTTGATTTAATGAATCTAATCAGTGTGCTATATAAATCTAAAAGTTTAGTTACAACTTGCACCACTACATAATAGTGGTATAAGAGTGTTATTACTTATTAGTAAATTGCAGTACCTGATGTATATAATTTAGAAGAGATAAACAGGACAGGTGACAACAACACTGACCCCTAGCAGTGAACCAGTCAGGTGTCAGTGGAGTAGGAGATTTATAGGAGAGGACAAATGAATGATGCCTTCAGTTCCATCAGAAATTTTTAGGGCCACCACAGCATGGTGGAGGGCCACCCAGGAAACAATTTTATTCAAAGAAGGTTAATCGATGCCACTTACCTTTTGAAATAAAAATTATGTGAGAAAAAGAGGGACACATGCATAACATTACATTTAAAGGAAGTGCCGTGCACAAAGGCAACCCATGTAAAGAAACCACATTAGTTTCAAGGCTATGACGGCAAGTACGGAGGGCAACCAAGCTCCATTTCCCATCAGCATTGTTGTGAAATTTGTGCTCCGTTAGGTCACACCCTAATTAGACTCATAAATCAATACATTGTCAGTTACGATCGGCAGTTATTAGATCTCCTTAAAAATTCCATAAAAAGTTGGAAATGCTGATGTTTATAAGTGTGATTTCTATTGACTCACAACACAAATTTCCACTGTCCACCTTGTTTGTCAAACCCCAGTTTTAGGTGAAATGACCGTTTGAATTAAAACATTAGATAATGTATGCCGTGAAAATACTTATAAATAGGAATGAGTGGATCAGATGCAAGCCAAAACAAGGTAAAAACTAGGCATGAGGTAAAAATGGCCTCGTCACCTAAAATGTTGGTTAGCAAGAATGGTAGCGTAGCTCCAATTGAAATTTTTAACATAGTCATAATTTTCCTAACTATTATTGTGGTAAGGTATTGAAGTTCAGTACACTCATGATTGAAGGAACATATAGGTGTCATCAGTTCACATAACCTGGGGATAGTAAATTGAAAATAATATTGTAAATACAAACACCATCCCCCACCTCCCGAGCGCATCGATCATTCGCACATAACTGCTCGTCGATTGCTCGTAATTAGCTGTGACAGCTCCCCCAAAGTCTCAATGTTTATCTACTCTCTTTCATCTATTATTAGTAATAGTTCCCTGTAAATGTATTTCAGATCCTCCTCTGCAACACATCATTTTGCTGGACACACGCCACTGTTCACAAACTCACAGAAAGACAGAGCAGTTGGGAAAACAAAAGTGTCAAATTCGCACAACACCTGCTTCGTTTGAAACTATCACAGCAAAAATGCACAAACAATTACCCCCATTCTGTTATCTATGCACAACCAAATGTTCACTTGCTTAAACGATCACTTTTGCCATTTGGCACAACTTATTTTACCCTCTCGAGAAAGCTAGTAAATTCCTGTAAAAAACTCCTACTCCTTGGCAATGTAAATAGGGGCAACTGGCCATTTATTATCTAAAACTCCCTAACCGCACCATGTGACTGATGGACCCATGAACGAAAGGTGCATTTGTTTGGGAGGATCATATGATCCTGATGCTTGGATCAAGCTAAGTGATCCTCTGCGCTTGTTTGGGCCGATCAGTGATCTGGATCACAAATTCCAGAACCTGCTTGCAAGGTGGATTAGCAGGGGATCCGATATGGTGGCGTGCGACCCAGCCAATCACAGATTGTTGTTTATTACAAACCATTCTGTGATAGGTCACAGAAAAACGTGAACCGTTGGAAGTGAGTTTGTATCTGTTTGGGCAGATCAGGATCAAGTGAACCAAACAAGACGGATTTCGTCCTGAATAAATGCACCCGTAGTCGTGTATGTGATGTCAATCCTGCGCAAATCATGATGGCTTGCCAAGGAAGAGAGTGGCGGACTGGTCATGGAGCTCAGTTTCGCTGTGATGTGAAAGCGAAGCAAGCATTGTGCAAATTCAGTACTCATGCTTTCCCACTGTTGATCTTGATCTTCTTGATTGTGTACTGCGTCGACCGCGTATACGCGTATTATGACGCAGGTGGTGGGGCCTGGTGAAATTAGGCGCTCCCGGCTGCGACCGCAACACAGATGGCGTCGATTACGGTCTGTGTGCAGGCATTCCAGTCCACGATGGTTCGTGGAAAGAATGAGTTCTTGAATTCCTCTGTTGAGGTTCTAATGACTGCGAGTTTGCTGTCGTTTTTGCTCCTTGTGCGCGATGGACCCATCCTAATGTACTGGACTTTGGGGATCGCAGAACTTCCAGAGAGAATTTTGTTGAGAAGGTTGAGACGCTTCTCTTTACGGCGTAGTTGAAGATTCTGCCAATTAAGTGATTGTAACATTGCAGTTACGCTATTGGTTCTGCCATAATCATTGCAGACGAATCTAGCTGCACGGTGTTGGATCATTTCAATTTTTTCTATGTCTTTTTTTAAATGTGGGTCCCAGACTGTGCAGGCAATACTCTAGCTTAGACCAAATAAGAGATTTGTATGCTGTGGCTTTCAGCGTTTTGGGCGCGTATTTCAAATTCCTTTTGACGAAGCCAAGGGTGCTGTTGGCTTTCGCACATAAACTATTGATAAATTTGTCCCACTTCAGGGTGTTCGAGAGAATTACGCCGAGATACAGAGTTGACTCAACCCTCCTGGAGAAATTTTTCACCTATTTCGTAGAAGTACGATAGCGTCTTTTTTTCCGTGTTGCGCGCAGGATGTAACACTTCTGGGCGTTAAATCGCATCCCCCAGGTCTCGGCCCAGGATTGAAGAATGGACAAGTCTTGCTGCAGCATGTGCTGATCCTTGATGGAGTTGATCACCCTATATAGGAGACAATCGTCGACGAACAATCGCACTTTGCTGGTTACAGTGGCTGGTAGATCATTGATGTGTAGAAGGAACAGTAAAGGACCAAGGACAGTTCCCTGTGGAAAACCCGAGTCCACTGAAACACAATCGGAGTGTTCCCCTTCCACGACCACTTGTTGTGATCGATGATAGAGAAATTCCTGGATCCATTTGAGTATGTGGTTTCTGATGCCGTAGTGGCTTAGCTTCTTCAGCAACCTCTGATGGGGCACCGTGTCAAATGCCTTGGTGAAGTCCAGAAACTGTTCTATCTTTCTGTGAGTTTGTGCACAGTGGCATGTGTGTGATGAGACTGCATGTGTGTGTCATAAGCCATAAAGACCACGAATGGCCTTTACGTGAAAGGACTAGCCGATAGAGAACACATACATTAAGTATTTGGTAATACATACAATTTGTCTTTATTTACAATTTTTAATATTGAATCAGTCCAAGTGTCTGTGCCTGTGCTGGAGTGTCTGAAATAACTAAAGTTGGCTTGAGCCAGCATAATATTGTATTTGTAAATCAACTGACAACTCTACCCAAACTGGCAAACACCGAAACAGTTATGTGTACTCACTTCACCCTTTTCAGTCATTTCCTTTTTTATCTTCTTGTTAACTTTCCTGTCTGTTTTCATCGCGGTTTTGTCTGCCCCTTTCAATTTCTTAGCTTTATCTTTCTTTTTACCCATTTTTGATGAACGTTAAAAACAAGACAGTTAGAATAATAGATATTATTGTACGAGCTACGTTAGCTTTCTCCACGGCAATCCACAGTGTCGATCGGTCTATTTGATCAACTTTGACTCTCACCGCCTCCGATATAGTCCCTTTAACTTTTAATACTAATTTTTATAAGGTTACTTTACTTATACGAGCGTTATTTTCACTAATGTGTCTTGGTTGTGGGGGCAGCCATGTTTTACAGGGGTGTAAGTATAACATCTTGCTGTCAACATTGCCAAGAAATAACTTTGAATAAACTAAATATAAGAATAATTTAAACTATTTTAAGTAAAATAAATTTAACATTGAGTAAATTTAAATTTGGAATTATATAAGTATACAGTAAAAATACATGTATAATACATGGCTAAGAAGGCAAGCAATTTCGACTCGCAACCAAAAACAGTCGCCCCACCTAGCAGGAACGAGGAGAGATATGACTTGGTAATTTGCGATGTCGTGTAAGAATTTCGAATATTTTTTGTGCGCGTTTATGTAGGATTCAGAACGCTTTATAGCGCAGATTCTGCACATCATGGTCTATAAAGAAGAAGTACTATCATGGTTCAAAGATTTGCCTGGCGCTAAACGCATAGACTTCATGTGCAGATTAGTGCATTTCTGTGTGCCACTTGAGCTGCGATTTTTTGGAACATGCGTCGAAGACCTCGCAAAGCGAGACTTTCATTACCTCAGGGATTTAGAAAACAAGTCTAACTCTGCCTCAGAATTAACTAAACTAACAGATGTAACGGATTGTGCTATGCGAAGTAAGCTCATAATTACTCTAACTTTGCTGTACTCGTCGAACTACACGTGTTCAAATCTACTGTTCAGAACGTTGACCAATCTCGAATCCGTGTTGGACAATCTGCCAAAAAATGAGAAAGTTGCAAATGAACTTCAGTTGCTTTTCACTTTGTCAACCAACCACCCTGCTTTCACATCTGAGCAAAAAAGAGCATTCAACTTGCTTCTCGAAAAAGTGTGCCGCATATATGGAAGCTTCTTACCAGCAGTAAGTTTTAAATATTGGCAATAATATTTTAATTACGTGTTTGCATGATTTAATAATATTATCACATATGCTAATAGTGAGTAATACTAATACTAATAGTAATAGTAATACTACTAGTAGTAGTATTAGCCGTAGTTGTTAGATCATAGATGTATACAGTATAGTCTATAGATTTAAATGTATCATAAAATGATACTATATAACTGTATGGGCCCCCATCCTGCGATATATGTACATATTCACAATAGTTGTGTGTATTATTGTGAGTATTAGTAATACTGAGTATTAGGCCAGGGGCGGATCCAGATGAGACGGGATACTAGAGAAGCGTTGCCGAAACGAGATGTTGATCCGAAGCGCTGAAGTGCAGATCTTTCGCGCAGTTCCGCGGCAAGGCGCACGCGACCGC